CCGTGGCAATAAAAAATGAGGGTGGTGAATAATTGTTTGCCACCCGGGTGGCGAATATCCTCGGCCTTTCGGAGCTACAGTCCAGAATTTTCCCATGGTATCGCATGACTTGGCCATGGACAAATACGATTAGGAAAAGCCCGGGTGGAAGACATGCATCCCTGATCGTATACATGTGCCTTGAACCCTTGCTCTGAAATAAAAAAAAAGACATAGATCGAAGTCCAGTGGCTGGACAAACATTTAATTGTGCTGTCAAAGTTTTTTGGGGTTTTTGTTTACATCTTCAAGGTTGAGTTCTCTCCCTTTGAATCAGCTGGATTGAATACGACATTCTGATTGGCTGATCTTCTTCTCAGATGACACCTACTGACCAATCAAATCGCTTCTTTCTAAAGTGGTCTGATTTTTAATGGCGGTTTGGAAATGTGAACATTTTTATATCTACATTAAATTTGATTAATATGCATTGAATTATTGAGTGTCTATTGACAGATGTGGACAGATTTTTAGTAATTTATGCCGAGGTAATTGTCTAGAAAATTCCGGCGTACATTAGGCAGTAGTATCGAAGTTTGATCGGAAATTGTCAGAAAAGAAAAAATCGTCTGCTCGTTTGCGCACATTTTCTTGAAAAATTTACAATGGAATTCTTGAAGTCTTTTGCCCATCCTGACGAAGTGATGGCTTTGGTCAAGTTTAAAATGGGTGGATGTGAAGCAGTGATGCCCAAAACTGATCCCGTAAGTATTGAATTGTTGCATTTCAACATTTTTAATTCTAGATCCTATAGCTTTTAGCGTCAATTTCTTAATCAATCTTTCACTTCGTGATCTTAAAATTTCGAGCTAAACTCCCAAGAGATTAATCTTAAACTCATCATGTTTCATTACAGTCTGAAACATCTGGCTCTATCCTAGTCCTCTATTCCACCCACTGATAGGAACGGTATTTTGATCGTAGTTGTTTGCTGGAGTAGAGTCAGAAAATCTAAGCCCTGTTTTATGGGGATTTTCCACTTTTCTTACGATACCTATAAATTTTGTTCATTGCAGAAATCTTTCAGTAAGACATTACAGAAATGTTATGTACATTTGAATAATACTAGTCGTAGTTTCTCTGCTGTTATTCAAGCTATAGATGATATATCTCTTCGGTGAGTAACCTATACTGTATATTTGTGTGTATAATGCGCAGTTTTTACTCTGAAAAGGCTTAATAAACTGCCAACTGGGAGTGCCGATTTTAGACAATTCTTGCCCTACCTGTTCCTTGTGATATATACGCTTGTGATATTGGGTGTTAGTACTGTTACTCTTTCCATAGAAGCACGGCCTAGGTCACAAGGTGTACATGCTGATACAAGTGATAAAAACTAGTTTTGATATTGTAATTTTGCCAAGAGTCAAATGAGCAAATTGTATGCAAGTTGCTCTGAACGAAGACTAAAAAACTAGAGCCCCAAAAGTGGGTGTGAGCAATTCATTTAGGGTGGCACTTTATGTCTGGCCCTGTCAGATGTCTTAGGTTCTTGCAATTTCACTTAAACTAAGGGATCGATGAGGACTAAGCTTATGTGATTAGTGACATCATCAAACACATCATCAAGTTTAAGTGGAATTCCAGGAATCACAGACGTCTGATTTAAAATTAGAATGGTACAAATTGATGCTATCAGTGTCTCCAATACACATAAAAAGTTTAGAAAACCTCTTTACAATCCCTTTAATGAGAAGTGAGAAAACCTGGCCTCTATTTGTATTTTTTTGCAGACATGCTGTATGTATATTCTATCTAGTATTAAGAGCTCTCGATACAGTTGAAGATGATATGACTATACCCATGCCAGTGAAAATACCCATGTTAAAATCTTTCTACAAAAATCTTTATGATAAGAACTGGAAATTTATGGAATCCAAAGAAAAGGACAGATTGGTTCTTGAAGACTTTCCTACTGTAAGTTGATATTTTTTTTTAATTTTTGAGATTGTAACTAGTGGGGTGGGTATCAATTACCAAATTGAGATGGATTATCGATGGCAGACCAACAATCAATAATCGCACTAATTTTTCAACCCTGTTTCCCGTCAGTGATACAGTTAAGAGGGGCTGACATGGAAAAAGCGTCTAGTTGTTCAGATAGGACAATAAACCGAGGCCCCGTGTACTACAGGCTGTGCTCGTTAAAGATCCCTTGACAGTTGGAAATCGAAAAAGAGTAGGCTAATGCGCTGTCCTGGCAAAATTTCCCTCATTGCACACTGCATGGCGCCTGTCTTCATTAGCCTACATGATGCAGAAAATTAGGGCGTAATGTTATGTTATGATATTTTTCTTGTAGATTTCTCACGAGTTCAGAGAGTTAGCCCCCATTTATCAAGAAACTATATCTGAAATCACACGGAAAATGGGAGAAGGAATGACAGTGTTTTTTGAAAGAGATTTAATCACACTAGAGGAATGGGATGAGGTATAGTAGTTTTTGTTACTGCCGGTCTGAAAGCACCGACCAAGGCATCAGTTAGAGCTTTGGAATATTTACAGGACATTATTTGCTTACGTCAAACGAATGATGGTCACAGGATATAATCTCAGTCATCGTAAGAAAATCTAGTAGTGTGTAATAATCTTTTCTCATTTTTCAAGTCAACCCAGCTGTAAATGGGCACAGATAATCCATGAATGATCAATGTCAAGAGGTTTGGTCAAGGACCAGCTGGTAGAAAGGATCCTCATTATTCTAGTCAACCCAGCTGTAAATGGGTACAGATAATCCATGAATGATCAATGCCAAGAGGTTTGGTCAAGGACCAGCTGGTAGAAAGGATTCTCATTATACTAGTCAACCCAGCTGTAAATGGGTACAGATAATCCTGGAAAGATCAATGCCAAGAGGTTTGATCTAGGACCAGCTGGTAGAAAGGATCTTTGTGAACCTAAGTTATTATCCTTATAAAAAATGGTTATTATTTTTTTTCATTCATTCATTCATTCATTCATCTGTCTATTTCAGTATTGTCATTATGTAGCAGGATTAGTAGGTATAGGATTATCCAAGCTCTTCTCTGCCTCAAAACAAGAATCAGAGATAGTTGGTAAAGACACATACCTAGCCAACAGAATGGGACTGTTTCTACAGAAAACTAACATCATAAGAGACTATCTAGAAGACCAGAATGAAGGCAGAGCTTTCTGGCCCAAAGCAGTAAGTACAACTTTTATATTCCTTTGAGGAAAATGACTGTCCTAAGAACAGTATTACTGAGACGACATCAGTGCTTATCTTAGCTGTAATTTCATAAATGCCTCAATATACGACCAGGGATAAGCCACTAAACATCCTAGTGCTTATCCATTCATAGCACGCGGTTAATACTAGTGCTTATCCTATCTTAGTGTTTCTCCTGGGGCTTAGAGCTTATATTATCCTAGTGCTTAAGAGCTTATATTATCCTTGTGCTTAAGAGCTTATATCATCCTTGTCCTTAAGAGCTTATATTATCGTGGTGC